TTACCACTGTGTCCATTTAATTACTTTGACCGATTTTATAATATAAAATTAGCACATATCACCTCACTTGCGCTATTAACTTTAACAGCATCGTCATTCGGTACAGATTGTTTAATCAGCCTCCTCGCTCGTTTAACCCAGAATATTTTATTGTTATCGGAAGCTGACCGACATTGGTGCAACGGTATCACTTCACGTTAACACAAATATTTCATTCCTGACAGATGAATGTTAAACTGGTTGGTTATAGGCGTCAATGAACTTTTAAAGGTCGCTAATTGACAAATTATTTATTTATAGTACAAAGCAAATTGAATATTCTGTTTTGGTTGTTCAATTTAATCTTATAGTTGTTTGGCACTAAGATGAATACAAGAAGGTCATCAACAAGATGGAAAGCCACTGCAGGAGCTGCATCAAGACAAGAGGAAACACAACTTTAACCAGGTTCAGTACCAGCATCTAACGATCCCCCAACTTCAGGAGGATAGTTGTTCTTTTGATGTAGTAAATCGACCAGGTAATGCAATAGGTAAAGATCATTCAAATCTCACGCAAACAACTAGTTACTCTCCTAGTCTTGATTATGATGTTAGTCAGTACTTAAAATAAAATCAAAAAATCAAACGGGCGAGTATGTCATTTTTGTTCTACTTAGAAACAACTCTATAATTGATAATGACCAGCAAAAAGTGTCATACATGTATGTACAGGGGAAACTTGTTATTAAACCAGTTTTGCCTCATACAAAAATAACAAATAAAGAAATTGAACTTGAGTATAAATATATTGTTGCTGAGATACTTTTGCAGTGGAATTAAGCTCGATATAAAGTTCGATGGTTTGGGACTTGGCATTCGACGACTATGTTAATATAGCAGTTTTATTATATCCTCAATCGATTTTCTGTCATTAAAACGAATATTCTGTTATCTACGTTTAATGTTTACAATATATACTTGATAGTCCTTGTACAACTGTTCACATTATTTAACACACATTTCGATGTTTCTCTTTCGAATACAAAATCTTTCTAATTAGATACGTTACAGTCTGAGATAATAAATTCCTATCGTAATGTATCTACAAGCTGCGATGCCGATTACGATTTGAACTTTTCTTGACCTTAGAAATGATATATAGTAAATGTAAGGAAACCGTTACATGTAACACTCTGAGATTGTAAATTCATGTCAACGATTTGTAGACGATAATCTTTTCAAAGATCGAAACTTTTGGTGATCAAGTTTGTAAAAGTAACTTGCAATCGAAAATAGTGTACAAACGGTTTCTACTCTAGTGATTACTACTAATAAAAAAAAATTAAAAAAAAATTATTCTAACAAATGAACTAAATTACAAATGATATTGTCATCTCGCCAGATATCAAGAAAAATATATATAGTAATGAACTCCATTTAATTTTATCTAAGACTGACCAGTGCTTCGATGGAACCACACACGTTATTGATGAGCGGCCTAGAGATGCTTATCCTATTTTTGCTTAAACGAAATAACTTACTATTTACAAGTTTAGACCTGTCGCTGGTCAATTGTTTTGTTATAAGTCCCCTACCGATTGAGTTTAAGGGGGCTTAAGGTTATTACTATGTTCGACTGTCTGTCTGTCCACCTGTCAATCCGGCAAATCAGTCTTCCACAATTTTGTTTTCGTGCTTGAAGATATCGATTTGATATTCGGTGTATTGTTTTATCATGACAAGTTACAGATCAAGTATGAATGTTGTTCCGGTCTGATGATTTTGTGCAGAGTTGTGGTCAAATACACACAAATAATAAGTTTTCTGCACATTTTTTCGTCCTACTTGAAGACGTTGATTTGATAATTGGTATATAGTTTTATCGTGACAAGTTACAGATCAGGTTCGAATTGTGTTCCGGTCTGATGATTTTGTGCAATTTATGGTCCTTGGACTAAGAAAATTCATTAAAATAATCAGTTGTCCGCACATGTATTCGTCATGCTTGAATATATTGATTTGATAATTGGTATATAGTTTTATCATGACAAGTTACAGATCAAGTTCGAATTGTGTTCCAGTCTAATGATTTTGTTCAAAGTTATGGTCCTTGGACTAGGAAAATTCCCCCAAATAATCAGTTTTCCGCAATTATTTTTTTGTTATATAGATATTGATTTGATAATTTTGTACATAGTTTTATCATGTCAAGTTACATATCAAGTTCATATTTTGTTCCAGTCTGCTGATTTTTGTGCTGAGTTTTGGTCCTTGTGATTAATATTCTATAAATTCACACACATTATCAGTTTTCCTCAATTTTTTGTTGTTGTCATGCTTGAAGATATTGCTTTAATAATTGGTATATAGTTTTATCATGACAACTAATTGCACAAGTTTCGAGTTTTGTTCCGGATTGGTGATTTTGTGCAGAGTAATGGTCCCTGGACTTAATAAAAATTTACTTAATAATCAGTTTTCCACATTTATTTTCCTCGTCATGCTTAAATATATATATTTGATATTTGTTCTATAGTTTACACCATGACAAGTTATAGATCAAGTTAATATTTTGTTCCAGTACAATGAATTATTAACCGGTAGTGACTATGTAATGCAATCATTACTTTCAGAATGCTTGTTTTGATAGAACTCCTTTCTCTAGATATCAGTTTAGGAGTCCTAAAATAGTCACTGAATATTTTCGGATTAAGTCAAGGGATACATAGTTCTCGTTTCTTCAGGAAAGGCGCTGCTACAGAGCTGCCATAAATGGTTGACATGATTCTAAACCTCAGACAATGTGTAGATGGAAGTCTATGTCATTTCGTTCATATATTCAAATACAACAATGGGTAAACCTGTTTGAATTTTTTCTAATTTTATGTTTAGAACTTGCAATTACTTTAGTAATACTAACAGTTATGTAAGATTAGCAGGTTCGCCAGTAACCATTAGAGTTTGGTTTCTACCTTTGTAGAAAACGAATGTATTCAAGCTCGGAATATACCAGGTGGCATTCATCTTGTACAAGATTAAACTGGAATTCGGTTTTCAATATCTCTAATTTTACACATAATTTTAGGCAGATATGCGGAATTGATTGAGTTGACAATACGACAGGAGTATAACATATAAGATGTGGGAAAATACTGTGAATATAGTTTCTGTTCTTTTACTGAATATCAGATTGTTGTGGTCTTAAGTTTGCCAAACAAACATGACATTATTCCGTAGTAACAGAAACAATGATTAGAACCAGAAAGAGGATAATCAGCTGGCTGGCTAGTTTGATCATTCGTCAAGGGGGATATTGCAATCAATACATACGATACTCCGATGAATCTCCCAATTCCATATTTAAATGCCAAGATGGTGAACATTTGACTCATATTGGTAATACATTTGGCTTACCACATTTCAAGGCGCAGTAGAAGCCTTTCTTGTCTACACACCACATACTTTCCACAATGTGTATTAAGAAATTGCATGATATTCATTAGAATTCAGTTATCGTTAGGGTTTAAATATATGAGTCCTTTATATTGTATTTGGCTCACAGCTTCTACGCAGCTCAATCCGCTTTAAATGGCGGTTGACCCGACAGTCATTTATGACTGTCTTGGTCAATTTGGCACATTTCGCTGCGTTTCCTTTAAATATGCGTCATTTGGCGTCATATTTCATTCAGCATCCAAAACATTTGATATTGTGGGTCTCTGTATCCCAGGACCACCACACAAAAATTTACGAATCTCTGTTTCCCAGGATTCATTTAATTGGATGCTTCATTTATTGTAAATAATTAGTTATCTAGTTATCTATCTAGTTATCTTTTTGTAGTCTGCCAATATGAAAGGTGACTACGTTTAAATAATTATCTATTTACTATATATATATATCTTATAATTATTTATCTATTTAGTTATCTAGTTATCGTGTCGTAGTTTGCCAATATGAAAGGTGACTACGTTCATTCAAATATCTATTTACTATACATATATATATCTTGACTGTTTACCTAGTTATATGTGTTTATAATCTTATAATAAAGCTGTGGCCAAATACTGCCAATACCGTGTTTCTAATCATTGCGCATCAATAATAAACAGTGTGATAGTCAACTACCTGAGTCACTTGTGAGTCTTTTGTATACAAAACGAGCGTCTGGCGTACAAAATTCAAACCTAGTATCTTTAATGAGGTTTTTTTACAACCACTGGGTCAATGACTCTGCTGGTGGAGGTTTCATCCCCGAGGGTATCACCAGCCCAGTAGTCAGCACTTCTGTGTTGACATGAATTATCATTGATATGGTAATATTAATGAATTTAAAACTGTTTGCAAAACTTTGAATTTCTTAAAATGCTAAGGATTTTCTACCCAAGGAAGAGATTAAATTTGCCGTATTTGCAAAACCTTTCGGAATGTTTGGTCCTCAACTGACGATTATCTATAGACACATATATTCTTAAGTACTCCGTAATCTTCCTTTTTTTATACGGAATAAAAACTTACTAAAATTTTTCACTCCCTTGGAGTCGTACCTAATCAAACATGTCAACGGATGACTTTAACAGTGGATAAACATTTTAACGACTCAATTATGCATTTTGTTTAATAATGGTCCAATGTTGTCGACATATTACAGTATCTTTATACTTCAATTAATAAAATGACCATTTTTTTCGACGCAGACGAGAGTTTCCTTGCAAAAAATACCGTTTGTTTTCTAATTTGAATTGTTCATGTTATATATGTTCAATGTCAGAGCCTTTTATAGCTTGCTATGTGGTAAGGGTTTTGATCATTATTGAAGGTCGTACGGTGACCTAGCGTTGCAGCATCTACGCCTACCACATCTTCTTAATTTCATATTATTCATGTTGCTTTCTTTCTTCTACTTATATACACGATATACCCCGTGATGAACAGAAACAGAATGTGCGTATTTAACACATGTTACGAATAAACCGTTATTGGTAAGGCGAACTGCATAAATTTAAAAAGATTCATGAATGCGATTGTATTCGACTGTGTATTATTTATTATATATGAAGAATAAAAACAAAGTGAAACAAACATTTAACCGAGCAGTTTCTAAATCCGTGTTGTTCATTTATAGCGAACACTTTAGCAAGCAATGTCAAAACCTTCTAGTTCATTATATATATAAAAAAAAACGTTTTAGCAAGCTAACGATTAAGCAAGCTAAGTATAAATCTGTTTTGTCCATTTCAATGATAAATTTTAGGCATAGACTAAAACGCGTTTGTCTTTATTTTTTGGCGAAACAAAAATGAATTCCATAGCTGCATGTTTATTTCCATGCATCACTGTTAAGTTATTATTTGGTGGATTCGTTGATCCACCCTTCGGGTGGATGTATTTTCCCGCTTTGTGTCTAATATTGTCGTTGAAAAAATCCATGGCGAATAGTGCCCGATCATGACGGTCTTGATGCAGAACCAAATTGGTTTCATTTGGTGGGTCAGCTTTTCCGCCGAAGGAATGGACAATTTTCCCACTTGCAGCATGTTTAATATATCCCCATCGTTCATCAACAACATCAAACTTGAAGTACATTCTTTCATGAATATCGCTGTGTAGAACCAAATTAGTATTGTTAGCAGGATTGCTACTGCCACCTTTTGGATGAAGAAACTTTCCACTGGCCTTGTGTTTGATAAGAAACGTGGTCATTTCTCTATATTGGTTCCCAGTTTATATATTTTGTGTCCGACTGAAACGAAAAATAAGTTAAATATAAGATAAACTAGTTGCTGCATATGTTTTCTTTCAATCTTTATTTTTCTCCATGCTTATTTTTATAAGTTTTTAAATTTCAATCTTTAAAGTGAGAAATGAATCAATAGCATTACAACCGGAAACACGGCCAGTGCAATCTGGTTATCGTTCTTCCAAAGGTCAGTCAGATATACAAAAATGACATGTCAGATAAACGTAAAAGACAGAAACCCAACAACCCAAAGAAAATAAAACTGTACATGATTTATACAGAATATTTAAAAAAAAAAGAAGTTTATTTCCTCTGAAATTATTTCAAGGTTCATTTTTTTAAAAGTTTTCCATCTTTACTTAAATTTACAGTATCATCTCCTCCTAAGGACATTTCCAGGTTGTAAAAAAAAATATGTTAAATGTCTAAACATAAAGCCTAATTCTTAACACTGAAATGCATCAAACCTGCAATTTTGCAAGATTTTGAAATTATCGAGTATTGTTCAACAACAAAAAGAGGACATTCTAAACCACACTCAAATGTTTTATTTAATTTTGAAGTAAAGATCTGTATTGTCCGAAATAAACAAAACAACTCATATGGTTAGGAAACTTAATTGAAATAGACTACTCCTTTCCGCAGATAATTTTCCCAACAATTGACGCATGTTGACTATTCCTTCAAATATCTTAGTTATACATCTATAGCTTTTCTGGTCTTTTCAAAACTCTAACTGGTGAAAAAGCAACGAAAGCAACAGAAAGCAACAACATGATGCTTGATAATCATAGCATTGCGAAAACTAAGCTGAAATTTATACTTTATAAATAGTTATGATACATTGTAAAAACTTACTGTTTAAATACGATGTCTGTTCGAATTATGATATTATGCTTGTAAAGCAACTTTGTTTTGCAAAAGTTATTTTATAGTGCACCAGCGGAATAATTCATACACAAACTTGTATCCCAACCTTCTTTAATTGTATATGTCTAGCCAATGTGAAGAAATAGTGCAATATTTTTGCAGCAGAACGTCTCAATCTGTCTGCGGTTGCATGCCTCAGTACCCTTTAAGTGTTTCCGTAAACATGTGGGAGCTGTTTACACTCATAATATGAAGTTTATGACAGTATTAAATATAATCAGTACTTTACTGATTTTTGTTTTTTAAAGTATTTTATATTGGACGTTAAACAAACACCAGTCAATTTATCAATAAAATGGTAAAAAACAAATCCAACAAGAACCAAACACGTTTTCTCGTTTGAATTGTTTCACATTTTTCATGTCGGGACCTTTTATAGCTGACTAAATTTTGAAGGCCGTTTGGTGACCTATATAACTGCTTTTATTTTCGTCATTGAACTCAGGTGGATAGTTCTCATTGGTAATCATACCACATCTCCTTATTTTTACAAAAAAGAAAAAAAAAATTTAAAATGTGTGACTTTTTAGTTGATGTCTGAACCATATCTGTTACGTTTAATGGACGTATTTTCAACAGAGCGATGGTAGGTCAATTTGAACCAACTTTGCATCTCTCCTTAATGACTTTTTCTGTTATTCCTATCATATATATTTCATACATTAGCCTCTCACGAAGAATGATTAAAGCTATTAATGACCTTGAACATTCCGCTATAATTGTGATATCCTCTGACTGAACAATTAAAGCTTGGTTTCTATCTAATTTAGCATGAAATATAAGGATAACAAAGGAAAAACAGTTAAGTCTGTTTCATATCTAGACTTGCGTATATAAAATGGCAATTTGGGTCAGTTGAGAACTAAACAGGACAGGATTTCAATTTTTTTCATGAAAACTTTTCAATTCTATTGAGCAATATTCCAGCAGCCCCTAATGTGAAGTATTTATTTTCCAGTTAATAAGATATCCCAGGGCTTGCGTTCCAACTAATTTTCTTTAAAAAGGGTGTCTGCTTAAAAGGAAGCTATATAACCAAGGGGTCTCAATTACAAAAAATTACCATTGAGGAAGGCAACAACCTATGTCGAAGGAACACATAACAATGACAAATTATGTTAAGACAAACAGCAGAACATATAAAAAAAATACGTGGACGGAGCAGCAGAAACCCAACCAAAACACCGATGTAGAACTAACGTGCTTCGGAACGGTAAACAGTTCCTGCCGCCCTAGTAGTGACACATGTCGTGCTTCGCTTTTATAAATACGTTAATTATTCATAGCAGTTGAGTATGCACCATACTATGAAATGTTGATAAATGTCTCTTGTCTAGGGGTAGGATTTTCTACGGATACTCCAGCTTCCTTCACCAATAAAAACTGACCGTCACGATATATCCAAGAGTGGTGAAAGTGACGGTATACACAACCAACCAATCAATCAATCTAGGTATAGGACATCAGCAAAGTCATTAGTCATAGGCATATGTCAATGTTCATACCTTGATTCTTTATGACCAAAGCGAAAGTGTGTGTTATAACATGGTATTCAGTCAACAACAAAATGATCTTGAAACTGGATATATACATGTGTTTTACACGTCTCTTGTTATCTTCAACTGATGATAATTACATTTAATCCCAGGAATTTCATACCCAGTAAAGTTTCTTTGTGGTTAGCCATGGAGAAGTGTCAGACTTCAAAAGTTAATCTCTAACATCAGGAACAAAATATAAATGAGACCGATACCGACAGAAATAACAAAGAAATTGAAAAAAAAATAGCAAAACACATAACAAAAGCATAAGCAACATGGATATCATTTAGACAAAACAGGAGATTCTGATTTGTGAACAGTCCCTGTTCTATCATATATAAGTGGAACACGTCGTAATATTATAATGCCGTTGATGATAAGCACAATGTAGATACAATTCTGGTAAACTTGTCAATTCTTTAAATAAACTTATTCTAAAAGGTTACCTATTCAACACTGTAATTAAATCTTTGAACATTGTTTTTATTGGTATGCATATTGGTTTTCTTATTATTAAATTAAAACCATACTAAATATAACACATATGTACTTTCACGGTACCACAATCTGTCGATACATATATTTTGGCATTGCACAAGGTCATGTCTTTTTCTGACTGATAATGTCGTCTTTACACTAAATCCATTGGATGTTGGATGAGTACTGATTGATATTTTAGTCTTAGATACATGATTTTTTTTTATTAGTTGTTATTGGCTTTGAACTAGCTGTCAGTAACTGCAAGTACTCTCAGATCTGTAATTAGTATCTTTTTTGTTATTAGGGATGAGGGATGGATATATACCCTGCCACGTCCTGTCTGTGTTTTTGTTTGATGTTTTTCCTTGTATCGATCTGACGAGTTAAGCCTTTTTCAACTGATTTTTATAGTTTGTTCTTATGTTGTGCGGTTACACAACTGTCCCAGGTTAGGGGGAGGGTTGGGCGCTCACAAACATGTTTAGCCCCGCCACATTCTTTATGTGCCTGTCCCAAATCAGGAGCCTGTAGTTCAGTGGTTGTCGTTTGTTCATGTCTGTCATATTTGTTTTTCGTAAATTGTTTTGTTATAAATTAGGACGTTAGTTTTCTCAATTGAATTGTTTCATATTTTTCAAGTCGGGGCCTTTTATAGCCGACTATACGGTATGGGTTTTTCTCATTGTTGAAGGCCGTACGGTTGCCTTTAATTGCTTACATCCACTTCATTTGAACTTTGGTGGATAGTTGTCTCATAGGCAATCATACCACATCTCCTTACTTTTATACAGACGACAAAGTATGGCAATGAATGATAGTTTTTTTTTTTTTTATCTTACTCTCTTCTACACAAATCAGTGGAGTAGGAAGATCTATACCGTGTTCAATACGAAAAGGTTTAAATTACACAGTAATATTGTTGTTTTCATGAAAATATATAAACATATAAATTCATTAATAAGAGGTCATGCGATCCCGGCAAGTAAATCACATATGCCAAGTTCGAGCGGACGTGATTGTATATGTAAGAATCTTAACATAACAAAAAATCTACTTTTGAATTAAACTTCATAATAATTATATTGCATGGAAATATTAAGTTAGGTTGCATTAATGCTATACATATAGTCCGGTGTTGACAGGAAATATACCATAGATGTGGTCATTTTAAATAAGATAAAATAAAAACAAATGTTTTTTTGAATAAGCTTCATCAGGTACTCTTTTGAACAAACGTTGAAAAACCTACAGATATAAATACGGTTGAGAGCTAGAAAAAACTAGGTCGTCCCAGATCAATTTTTCTGATTGAATTACTACCTTAGTTTTAGGAATTTTAGCACAATAAAATATTTTCCTTCTATTTAAATTTTCAAACAAAATATCTCATTCAATCCTTACAAATACCGAATGACTGGCTTCTAAGCTGGTGGTAACCTCGTTGACTGACAGACCATCAACAACGGAACTTAGTGTTACTAAATTTACTGTTAATTAAACCATTCTTTTTCTTTCCCTGGGCATGGATGGCCATGGCGGCAAGCTTTTTCTAACTTTTGTTGATTCCAATGCTCTTTAACTTTGCGCATATAACAATAATAAATACCATTGACGCTGTAGTCACCCCTACTGATATGGACAATGAGTTTTTCTTTTCCTTGTCAAAGATTGCAAAGATTTTGCAAATTTTGTTTATTTAAGTCGTCATTGCTCTTGAACTTCATTATTGATTTGGCCTTCTAACTGTTTTGATTACTAATGCGTTTTATGTAGACGAAAAGTACATATAGCATATTATGATCCAGACTCACATAAAGAAAACAACATAGTAGCTTTTCACTTAATGGATATAGAGTTAAAGAAAGCCCTTGATGTGTAACTGATTGTGGATTTTGGTTTGATGTTTTTATACATTATATATTATGATATTAATGCACAACTTTAAATTCCCCAATCATATTTAAATTCGATTGCTATAAATATCTCTAGATACTGAAAACTTGCATATTTTGAAATCATTTAAGGTACTATGTTAATATTTATTTAATTTTTACAAATATATCTGTTTGCATAATTATAACTGTATGAATAGACATTGAAATATTTTTAATATTAGCTACCGTCTGAACGATTCAATACGGTCTTGTTATTCTATCAGCTGTATCGAAGAAAATATTGTAAATAAATAATTCGGTACATTGAAACCAGTAAAGTACGCTAGACTAACGAGAGATTCAATTGATACATTTTCAAATCAACTTATCGTCATTTCTGGAATCATGTCTTTCACCGGAAAAGATCGTCAATTTCGCACGCCTTTATGACGTCATTTACCAGACAGAAGGCGCTTCTGTATCCCTGCTCTATTAAAAGTTTCCAGCACTTTCATAATCGTCATTCTGTAGGGTAGTATAGAAATAATTTATGTTCCGTAAGTACGTTATCTTGATTCCCGTACGACTGAGGGAGGGTGACCATCTTATTAGATTTTAATTTCCCAAATATTTTGTGCAGTATACAATCAAACTTTTTCACCCGTTTACTCAACATGTGTTGGAAATGACGATGCATACATTTTTGTCGTGGTGATGGAAGTCACATGACAGATTCGTCTAAAAACCTTATCCCGGAACTGGCCTACATTGTATTAGTTATATAAAACTACGAAAAGACAAACAACGGTCAACAAAGCACTACACAAGAACTTAAGACTGAGGAACAACACGAACACTACCATCGATCATGGTACAAAACATTCGAAACTTTCAAAAGAACGTTACCTTCCAAAGTATAGACGAATGCCGAGTGTGATATCTCAGCAAGTAGGAGAAGTGAACACCATTGAATTCACCAACTACATACATTAAAACCCGTTGATTAAATAAAAAAAAGACGAATTATATTTAAATATTAAATGATTGGCAATGCGACAAATCTCCAGCAGAGACCAAATGACGTAGAAGTTAACATCTATAGATCACAGTTCGGTCTTCATCAATGAGCAAAACCAATACCGCATAGTAAGCTATAAAAGGTCCCGAAATGCCAAATGGAAAACAATTCAAACGAGAAAATTAACGTCCTTATTTACGTACAAAGCAATAAACGAAAAACAAATATGACATATAGCAACAAACGACAACCACCGAATTACAACCTCCTGATTAAAAATCAGGAACCTTATAAAGCGATGACGTCATGTTCCCACACGCGTAACTTTCCACAACGCATAAAAACCCGGATTACTCTGCAATTCCCTGTCTTAGTCAGATATTTTAAAAGTGAAGTCAAAAAAGATAAACACTAT